TCTGCGGGGAGTCACCTCCCTGGGGCTCAGGCAATGCCCTTGGCTTTTAGGGCAATTCGATGCTATGAGAGTGTTGGTGTTTTATTTTTCTAGACATTTTTAATGTAATGAAATCTTTGAAGCTAACATTATGACAGCTAGTTTTCAGTGATCTTAGAAGCTCTTCAGAAACATCAGTGTCAAATGGCTGCATAACACTGAGACAGTCATTGTTACAACCCAGTGACTTAACTCTACCCAACCATGAAACAACCAGGCGTTTTCCCTGTTATACATAACTAGAGGTGTGGTGCATGAATTCGTGAACTGGATCCGGCCCCCCCTCACACCTCCCCCCATTGGGACCGATCAGGGCCAGGGCTGTGGGGGGTGAAGGGGAGGGGCCACAGGCAGTTGGCCAGCTGGCTCCGCCCCCTGGTTGAACTCCTAGTCGAGGATATTAGGCTTTAATATATAGGATTCTGGGATAAACATCTTTATTCTGTATTCTGTATTGGACGTGACATATTTAGTTTTGGATTTTGTCACTTGACAATTAAAATCCAAGGAGAAGAGCATTTCTTGCTAAGCAAATAAGTTGCATTTGTGTTTTTCTCTGTGGGGTTTTCTTTTTTCCTAGAAAATATTATTTTTATTAATTAACTGTTGACATGCCTTATAATGCATTTAAATATATATATTTTTTTGCTTTTAGAATGTCACTCTTTGAGCAAGAACAAAAAGAAAATTCAATCTTTTCATTATCATGCAAGACAAAAATCTTTAGTTATGGCTATTGATAGTTTGAAAAACGTTCAGTTTCAAAACTCATTTTTGCCATTTTGCCATATAAAAATTTAGGATTTCTCTCAAATCTAGGAACTTCTGTCAAGTTGTATTTCTTCATGTCTACGCTATAGGTTCTCTGATATGGAGTTTTCTCACCTCGAGACTTATTATTAGCTCATTGAATTGTCAGCACTCATGGACCAGTGCACCATGGCCGATGACCTTCTCTGTCTGGTTTAATGTCCTGAGTAACAGGCAGGCATCTCTCACCAGGAAGCAGTCTTACTGGTTTCTGGTCTCTTCTCTATGCGTGGCTGCCCTGCCACCTGGCCCGGGTTCCCAGTTCTCCTTCCTCCAACATTCTGCACCTGGAAGCCAGCCTCCCAGCCAGGTTCCTGCCCACCTTGGTTTTGGGAAGCTGCTGAAGGACCTACTCAGTCAAAACAGGCCATCAATAGAGAAGACCCCACTGAGGACCTCGCCTGTAGAGAATACCCAACCCCAGGGCAAAAATGCAAAACCAGTTATTTTGTAGAATGTTCTGCTGTGTGGGTTTGTTTTATTGCTTTCTCCTGGTGACATTTAACTTTTGCCTCCATAAACTGGACAAAGGTGGGCTAAAGTCTTGATTAGAGTCTCATTCCTCGTTTTGGCAAGAATACCATTTTGAAAATAAAAAATAACAGTGAATTTCACTTCTCTTTGCCCCCAAAGCTGTAGCTGAAGCTGTTTTCCATCAAAGAGCAGCTTCTGTGTTGCTGACAGTGAGCCCTGAGAAGCTCTGCTGTGTGCCACACTCTGGGAGTTCCATGGGAGACAAATTTGATAGAGAACGCAGACTGACAAAGTTAGACCACTGAGAAACAGCGACAACTAAATGCTGTCACCACTATTCCCCCTCAAAATTTTAAAAAATATCATAATGCTAAATTTAAAAAAAGGATAAGGTAAAATAAAAAATAGAAAGTTTTAATATACAAATGATGCATACTTTTTCAATTGAGAAATTTAATCTTAGAAAAAATTTCTTTCAGAGATCTTTCTCTTTCTCCATTTCAACAGACTAGTGACCAGTCGTCATGGGCCGTGTGAGCTTTAAAGTTTATTGTTGTGTTTTTGTCCAGAGCCTTTGCAATTTGCTGTGTATGGAAGCTCAGAGAAAGCCGCACAGGCCCTTCTCAGCAGTATTTCACGGCCATGTTGATTCCATCCTCTGCAAACTATAAACTCACCTACTGCTCCACGGGTAGGCTGTGCTTTGGGACGCACCTGAGCTCTGGCTACACTTGAAACAGGTCACAGGATCTCAGCATCAGGAGGAAACCTGGAAATCAGGCATGTGAGCCAGAGCATGGCCCCACCGTGAAATGTAAGGGTCACTCATCTCTGTTCCAACAGTCCGAGGATGGAGACTTGGAAAAGCAGGTGTTAATTCATAAGTGCGCTGACACTTGCCACCTGAGTTCCCATCCTTGTTTTGTCTCTCAGGTTACACAGACATCCAGATTCCTTGCCCACAACAGGCACTTAATCATTTTTTAAACACAGTTATTATCCGCTGCTTGCGGATTTTGTCCACCTCCTAAAGACAAGTGCAGTGGAGATGCGATGATCTTGAGTCAGGACATGCTGGGGGCCACCCCAGACTCTCAGGGGCTTTTGGAATTTGGAAAGACAGTTGTCTCCCGTAAAACCTGGTTCTTTCTGGAAAGCAAGGTGATCAAAAACCCTATTTTGGAACTTACAGCCTGGACATTTGACTCTGTTCTTTTCATTTCTACTTTAATAATCCTAACATTTCCCAACGCAATGACTATCCCTGCCTGGATCCAGGGAGGGTTGCATATAAGAAAGTCAACAAGAGCCCTGGCTGGGTGGCTCAGTTGGTTAGAACATTATCCCATCCACCAAAAAGGTTGCAGTTCAAGCTCTAGTCACAGCACATACCTAGGTCTTGGGTTCCATCCCCAGGTGAGGCGTGTACAAATCGATGTTTCTCTCTCATATCAATGTTTCTCTCTCTCACTACCCCCCCCCCAAATCAACAAACACATCCTCAGGCCAGGATAAAAAAAAAGTCAACAAGAAATGAACATAGCTCTTTCTCCGTCATCGAGGTGCGTGCGTTCACTTCTCCTTCACCATGTCTTCCCGCAAAACTTTCAGGATCAAGAGGTTCCTGGCCAAGAAACAAAAGCAGAATCAGCCCTGTCCCCAATGGATTCGGATGAAAACTGGTAATAAAATCAGGTACAACTCGAAGAGGAGACATTGGAGAAGAACCAAACTGGGCCTATGAGGAATCACACACGAGAGATGGCTGACATATTTATGCTGTATCCAGGTTGCCTACACCGTTAAATGATTGAAAAGATGCTACTGTCTGGATAGTTAATTGGAAAATTAATGGACTCATGGTTTTGCTCTATTGATTTTTTTTCTGCAGTAGTAGGTTGGTTCAATAATAAATGTGTGAGACCTTTTAAACTGCAAACAAACAAACAAACAAAGAAATGAACATACTAGTATATAGAGAACATAATGACAGCTGTCGGGGAGGAGGCGTGCTTTGCAGGGCTAGATGAAAATGTTGAAGGGATTAAGGAAAACAACAAGAATAACTCATAGACAGGGACAATAGTATGGTGATTACCAGAGGGAAAAGGAGGGTGGGGATGTTACAGAAAAACCAGACAAGAACCAGACTGCGCTCTGAGAGATTGGAGTTACACTTTATTCACCGCGGTGGGCTCAGGGAAATAAATCCAAATCTAAGCCAAACTACAAACAGAACTTCCCTTTTTATGGAAGAGCCAGCCCTTTGTGCGCTTGCTGGTGGCGGCCTTGAAAACTACACGGTTCTATCCAATTAAAAAATGCACCTGGCATGGCATTGAGTGTATCTAGTCTCTGGCCTACAAGGTCAGATAGCTAAGTTTATCTCCCCCACTATTCAAGCAGGCTAGAAAGCAAAGTTACTTTTTTTTTCAGAATAAGAGGCCATCCAAAGAATAGCAGAGAATTCCAAACAGCAGTTTTACAGAATAGGGGTTTTCCTTCACAGGGAGAGGTAAAAGAGGTTATAGGAGGGATAAATGGTGATGGAAGGAGACTTGACTTGGGGTGGTGAAAACAATACAATATACAGCTGATGTATTACAGAATTGTACACCTTAAACCATTGGTTAATATAATTTTATTAACCAACATCACCCCAATAAACTCAATTAAAAAAGAAAAGAAAAGAAAGGAACATTGTCATTCCAAAAATACTGTCCTCATCTGAAATTAAGGAGCTGGGAGGAGAAAGGAATGAAGAATTAGTTTAATAGGTACAGAGCTTCAGTTTTGCAAGATGGAAAATTCTGGAGATGGGTGGTGGTAATGGCTGCACAGCAATGGGAATGTGCATCAAACAATAGAGAGCACACACAAAAGCGGGGGGAGGAATATGTAGATGCAGAGCTGAGATAAAGAAAATAAGAACAAAGTATTAGGGGAGTAGGGGGAGGAAAATGGTTTAAAATGAAGAAGGGAGAAAAGAAAAGAAAAAAATGTTTGAAAAGGAAAATACAGGAGAAAGCGGATAGACCTAAAATAAGAAAAAGGAAAAAAAGATGAGAAATCAGGAGAGAAAGAAAAGAAAAAAAAATGAGTAGTAAAAAAAGAAAACAAATGAGTAGGGAAAGGGAAGAGGAAAATTAGATATATGAATGAAACAACAGAGACTGGAATAATAACAAATCAATAACGCAGACAAAGAAGATAAATTTTAAAAGGAAAAAAAGAAAGGAAGAGAAAAGAAAAGAAAGTAAAAAAATGAAGTGGTGTTCTTCTCAGCAGAGTCTGGTGCCCCCTGGGAGCTCGCTTCGGATCCCACCTGTCTGCCCACTCTGGGCTTCCTGCGAGGTCCTCAGGTGCTGACCCTGTCAGGCACTGTCCCCTTTGCTTTCAGCAGCCTGCTTGAAGCTCCAAGTGGTCCACTGAACCACCGTTGGTGTCTGTCTCCACAGTTATTGGCTGCAACCAGGAGGGGCCAGTCTGTCCTCTAAAGTAGGTTTGTTAGCAGCACGGGGCCCTGGGCTGGGTCTGCAAACTTCCCTGGCTCCCCAGGCTCCGCCTCTGCCCGCCTTTGCCTGTCAGCCAGCTGTCAACCTTAATCACTCAAAAGTCTGCTTCTGAAAGGGCTTCAGGGAGGGGTGTGTGTGTGTGTGTGTGGGGGGGGGGGGGGGTCACTGTCCCAGAGCTACTCCTCCGCGAGCGGCCCAAAGTATTACTCTGCCCTCAGCTGGACAGAGATCCTTCCATGGAGACCAGCGGGGTGGGCTGGAAACCTGCAGTTTTTATCAGCTCTCTAGTGTGGGGAAAGTACCGGTCTGGTTCCCGGGATAGTCCTCCCCCAATCCCGTCACTGAGAGTTCCTGCGACTGTTCCAACCCAGAGGCTTGGCATCGGCTTTGTTTCCCCGGAAAAGAACAAAATACAGGGTGTGGCATGCAGGCTCCTGCGGGTGGGGCAGGCTGGGTCACCCAGGGTGCATTTTTTTCTTTTCCTGTCCTGTGGCTGCTGGGAGCAGCTACTTCCTCTCAGGAAAAATGGCCATTTCGGTTTGGGGGCCGATGAGCAAATGTTCCTGGCTGCTGATTTTCCAAGTCTCCCTGCAGTGCTTCCACCGCAGCATCTCCTTAGGCACCTCAGTCCCTGTCTCCCTCCCTGCACCAAAGCCTTGGGTGAGTAGCTGCAAATGAAAACTCTTGTGCTCTGGGTTAAAAAAAAACAAACAAAACAAAACAAAACAAACGAAATGAAACTGCAGCTTTCTCTACAACCGGCTCCAGACTCCACCAGGCCAGCAGCCCTGCCCCCTTTCACTGCTGTATGTTACGTGGGCTGCAGGTCTCCGCTCTGGTGCTCCGGGCTGTGGAGCCCAGCTGGGTTCCCGTCTCTCTCTTCTGAGGAAACAGACGCTCCCATAGCCAGGTGCTCCCTCCTCACTCTCGGCCCGCCTGCCCGCCCGCCTGCTGCCCCTGGAAGCTGGGTCCGCTCCTCCCATGACCTCGCCCTTCCTACTGGTCTCCAGGTGTGTTCTGTCCTTCCTCAGCTGGACCTCAGTTGGTAATTCCAGGCAAATGTTCTCCAATTTTGTTTTTCCAGTCTGGCCCTGGGATGAGGTACGTGACAGGTCTGCCTATTCAGCCACCTTTTTTGCTGCTAGCATAAATTATTATTAGCTGTTGTCCTCTTGCAATTGTTTTCAGTGATTTTTAATGACCATCAATCTTCAATCCTGGCTCTGTCCAGCCCTAACGTGTTGGCTTGTCTGAAGTTACACCACCTCGGATCAAGCCCTGACTTCCTGGCTTACCAGCTGAGGATGGTCCCCAAACTCTCCAAGCTTCCATCTATTCATCTGAGAAATGGGGATAAGGATTATTATGATGATCCAATGCCATAATCCAAAGCAGAGTGAGTGAACCATACGTTCTACACTATCTACAGGTAAATGCCACGGGGATTTTGGATGCATTTTTCTCCCCCATTTTGCTTTTCTAGCTATACTTCCTAAGTTTTTCATAATGAGTACCTGTTTGTTTGTTTTTAACTAACAAAAAATAGTAACAGAAGAAACTGCTGGAAGAATAATGGCCAATGTCTCACTAAGAACCCTTAAAAACAGCCACTACCAATTTATTCACTGAAAGCTCTACATGGGAGGAAAACAAGCCAAATTAATGATGTGCTTACTGTCCCATCCACAGGAACAGGACATAAGGAACAGATGACATTATTTTTCATGAGCCAGGTAACTGGTTTAGTTAATTGTTTTATTTGGTGATTTATATTCACACTAGAGGCCTAGTGCCCGAATTTGTGCACCAGTGGGGTTCCTCAGCCTGGCCTGCAGGATTGGGCTGAAACCAGCTCTGCAACATCCCCGAGGGGTCTCGGATTGTGAGAGAGCACAGGTCAGGCCGAGGGACCCCACTGGTGCACAATTGGGGCCAGGGAGGGACACAGGAGGTTGACCAGCCGGGGAGGGACTGTGGGAGGGCTCCAGGGCGTGTCCGGCCTGTCTCACTCAGTCCTGATTGGCTGGACCCCAGCAGCAAGCTAACCTACTGGTCAACTGTCTGCCCCCTGGTGGTCAGTGCACATCATAGCAACTGGTTGACCAGTCAACTGTCTGCCCCCTGGTGGTCAGTGCATGTCATAGCAAGCAGTTGAGCAGTCTTAGCATATCATTAGCATATTACACTTTGAAGTCGAGAATGTCATTTTTTATTTCCTTCTTATTTTTCTGTCCATCTGTCCTCAGGTGGTCATTCTGTGATGAGTTGAATGTCAGTAAAAAATTTTAACAAGGCAAGAGGGGGAAGGACACCAGCTTCCCAGGTGGATCACTGGTCAGCAAGCTTTAGCAAGGCAAAGCCTGGACTCGCATGCCAGAGATTCTGCCAACAGCTCACATATTTCAGTGTACTCCACATATTTGAGGGCTCAGCAACCAAAGCAAAGCAGGGGGAAACAATGATGGTGGAAGCTGGCTTGGTTGAAAAAGTCCAAGGGCACAGTAGTTCTTTACCTCCATATCCAACCAAGAGAACAGTGCACTCCATACCCAAGCATTGTGCTGCAATGACTCTAAGTGAGTGCTTTTAGCCTCATGTCCCTAATCTTCCATCCATCTGTCCTCAGGTGGTCATCCTGTGATGAATTGAATGTCAGCAAAAAATTTTAACAAGGATGGGGTCAAGGATAGGTAACCAGGCATAACTCCAAGTTTCCCACTCCCAGACATGGGTGCGTCAAGGTCCTGATTAGACCCTTGTAACTGTAAATCAAAGACGTTTGTAGTTTCTGTGAATAAAAGCTCACTGAGCACAAAGCTCGGGGCTGTTACAGGAGGGGCCTATGGTAGACGCTGGCCAGCTCAATAAATCCTCGCTTGCTGTTTAAGACCTAATTGGAGTCAGTGGTCTTATTCTCGTGAATGTTGGTCCACAACAATCCCTTCCTAGACTTCAAGGACCTCTCATGCATTTTATAATTTTTCTGTGTTGTGTGACAATTCTAAATCTTCAGAGATTATCATAAGGTACAACCCAAGCAAGAATGTTTTGATGATATAAGGGCACTCTAAAATTTCAAAACACCATTAAGAATAATAATGGTAACTATCTGGTAGGGACTATTGAAGTACGGTACCTATTTGCTTTGTTTAACAATGGACAAGTTACTTTGATTTTCTAAATTGTATAAGTCATCCCATTCGATTGAATGCCTTATTGATTGTAACATGACTATCCCATTGATTGTGATCTTACTGGTTATCGAAGCACATTCTTCTGTACCTGGAAACAGGACAGCACAATTACCCTAAATTGTTTTAGTGGCCACAGGTGGTGTGTTCCAGCTGACTCAGTGGTCCCAAGACCAGGACAGCACAATTACTCTAAATTGTCCTGACAACTCAGTGGTCGGGAGACCCGAGGGCCCTAGATAATGTGTTTCTATCAACTCGGTGATCCGGAGACCCAAAACTGTAATTTAGATAACATGCCTAAATTTAACCCAGGTTACCCAAGAGCTCTAGATAATGTATTTCTGTCAATTCAGTGACCCTGAGACCCGAAACTGTAATTAACATGCTTAATTCTGCTTCTGTAATCTGCTTTTTTGCGAGCCAGGTGCCTCATTCCAAACCCTGAGATGTAATCAATACCTTTGTGATTTTTTGCCTATATAATCCTGGAACTGTGACCAAATGGGCTATAAGATTTGAGAATGGCCCCTCATAGTCCCAGATTGCAATAAATGTGACTCTTTAATTCGACTTCTTGAGGCGTCCTTCTGTGATTCACGGGGTACATTACAACACTATGTGTTAGCACTATATTACTTATCCTCCATAATTTTACAATACCCCCAGGGACAGGCATTTGTTTTTAATTTTTATTTTTTGGTTAATCTTCACCCAAGGATATTTTCCCATTGATTTTTAGAAAGAGTGGCAGGGAGAGGGAGAGACACACAGAGAGAAAATTTGGTGTGAGAGAGACACATAGATTGGTTGCCTCCAGTACACGCGCCCCACAAACCTGCAACTGAAGTACGTGACCTTGACAGGAATTGAACCCAGGGTCTTTCAATCCTCATTCCAACACTCTATCCACTGAGCCAATCAGCTAGGGTAAGCCAAGCATTTTTAATCCCCCTTTCACAGATGAGGAAATGGACACTGTATCAGGGGAAGTATCTTGCCCATGGTTACATGGCTGTTAAGAGACAGAACCAAGATTTGGACTCAGAACTATTTAATTACAAACCAGTGGCCTTAATAACTATATATTTTTTATTTGATTATTACCTGTCTTTGCCTGACCACCATTGTGTATACCTAATTAAATAGCTCCAATAAATACTTGTGGTATGAACGAAGGCTACCTCCCCTCAAGACCTAGGGAACAGGGGCATAATGGGGTAATGGCAGGTCATGGTTTGTTTCGCAGTTCATTGAAATATCAGGGCCAGTGTCCTTGTGCCCCTAACAAGTCCTGCCAACTCCATGGCTCCCTATTACAGAAGCAGGAATTCCTAGTTATATTGCAGAAACACTTTATATTGGGACTTTTGCAGAATTTTTTTTAATTTTGAAAATATTATATATGCTAGCTCAATCAGCTCAAGTTGTTATAGAACTGAAAATGTTGAATTAAGTAGAAAACATGAACAAAATATTTTACAAGAGGAAAAAACTAAATCTAGCCTTAAAGGGGGAATTTCTATACCCAGATATCTAATCCCCAAAAATATATGGCTGGCATTGTTCTCCTACAGAAAACTAAAGTCACTTGTACAGGCATCTATTAACATAAAAACATCAAAACCTGTAAAGAATTTTTGTGAGTTTATTTGAGCCAAACTGTCGACAATTGCCGGGAAGCAAAACCTCAATGAATTGAGATAATGCTCCGGAGAATGGCAGGTTACATCTATATTTATACATTGCAATCAAAGGAAGGGTCGTAGGTGGGTTACATGAAATCATTGGTGATAGACTAGAGAGGCGGGAGAAAGCAAAGCAAGGGTGGGGAGTGGGGAGGGGGAACCCCTGGGGTTAGATAAAAAGTAAAATGATAGACACATACTTAGGTAGGTGCAGGAACAATTAACATGATAACAATGAAGGAATTTGTGGTGTCTGTTCTGGCTCCCAGGCACATTAGGTTGTGCCCCAAGGGGTCCAGAAAAAGGGAAGTTACAAGTTACCCAGACATTTCAAGGTTATGTTACCAGATAGGCTCACTTAAGGTAAAGGTTGACCTTGTCAGTGAAGATACTGGCCTAGGATGTAACTACCCACCATAACTGCTTTTAGTTAAAGTTTAATTTCAGACCATTCTTTGTGGTTACTTTAGGTCTCTGAGTTTGCAAGACCGCCATGCAGGTCTTGTCAGGTTAGTATGTGGCCCTATCGTCCACACATCTCATTTTTCTGACACAAAATGACTTCTTCCTGATTCTTCTCAACAACCAGTTTTACATCACCTGTTCTTCTATTTATTCCAGCTCATTCTCCCCAGAGACAGTCTTGCCACACCAAGCAGGTGCGTGCACCTCTGCTCATTTCTTTCTCCTGAATGCCTTCCCTTTGTCTCTGGAAACTAGGAGCTTTTGAATGCTAACTCCTCAGCTGCATCTCTAGAGACACTTTGCTACTACAGCCGTTGTCTATGGAAGGTCAGGGCCGCCTTGGGTCTTTTAAAGGCAATCAGGAAGCCGGTTACTCAGTCTGGCTTTCGGGAGATGTTTTTAAAAGGGAGGAAGTCAATGGATTATTAATGAGTTTGTAGAAAGGATTTTGAACATTTACTTAGGCACTCAGTGCAGAACCGAGAACTCACTAGGGAGCATAAAGGAGAGGGTCAGATGGAGGTTGCTGTGGGAGTGGGAAGGCCCAGCAGTGGCCCTGCACATGCTGGGTCAGCGTGAGTAGAAGGCCCCGCCTGAATGCAGGAGGCAGCAGCAAACAGCAGGGCCTGCCCATCAGAAAACATGTCACAGGAGGAAGGACTTGCCCTTCCTTTCTCAGGTCACAGTTGTTACTAATCAAGTTGGAAGTCCAAGATGCATTCCTGCCCCTTACTCCACCTGGTTGAGACAGGCCAGTAAGCCAGGACAAGTGAAATAGGGAAACTGGGACAGATAGTTAAACAGCAGTAGACAGCCATCTAGAAAATCTAGATGCCAAGCAGTTGGCAGCCATCAGTAAACCCTGTCTTCCCTACACTTGAGAGTAAAGGGTTCGCACTTCTCCCCAACCAGAAGGTAAATAGCTTAAATCACCCTATTCAGGGAGACAGCAGGAATCCATTAGTGCCATTTGCCAGCCACACCCAAGGACAGATGAAGTTAAAAGAATAAATCTCATTTTGGTACATTAGCGTAAAGCTGATGAATATTCTATTGCGATCCTCCCCTAAGATCTCCCCTAAACACCAGCCTTTGAAGCCAGTAAAATGAAGGTCCCAGTGTATGCTCTCTCCTTCCCAGGAGCACACCCACCCCTCCCCCGCCACTTCCTTCCCCACAGTCATGCATCTCCTAACCCCGTGATGGCGAACCTTTTGAGCTCAGCGTGTCAGCATTTTGAAAAACCCTAACTTAACTCTGGTGCCGTGTCATATATAGAATTTTTTTTATATTTGCAACCATAGTAAAACAAAGACTTATATTTTTGATATTTATTTTATATATTTAAATGCCATTTAACAAAGAAAAATCAACCAAAAAAAATGAGTTCGTGTGTCACCTCTGACACGCATGTCCTAGGTTCGCCATCACTGTCCTAAACTCTAAGGAACCCACAAGGCTTGCAACCAGGGGAGCAATGGGCAATGGCAGTGCGTCCTGGGCAAACCCCCTGAACCTGTCCCCAAGGCCTCCTTTTCTCTGACCTCTTAGTGGGCCAAAGCAGGCCAGCCTGGGCCCATTTCCCAGCCCTTTCTTGTTTCACTGTCCGCAACTTGAATAAACATCCTCTAAAATTCACCTGGACTTGTGACATTTTTCCTGCATGAAGTCAAGAATCCACACATTACTGGCTGGCCCTAGGCAGACCTGCTCAGGGCCAGGTCCCCTCCCCGGTAACACGATTACTCACAAGTAGAAGCCCTGAGTGGAATCAGCTTGTCCTAAAACTAGGAGCGACTCAGTCTAATGTTTTCCCCCCATTTCAATGTTTGCTGAAATGCTAGTATGTTTCCCAGAGAACGAAGAGTTATTACACTTCACTCAAGGGCACCAGTGTCGCTTTTTATATAAGGAAGCGTAGTTCCTGTCTAAATGTGACGATATGGGAAGGTAACTCAAGATATAAGATGAAGCGTGATGGTGGTGTGAGAGTCCCAGTGACTGCTTTGGGCAAGTTTGGGCTGGCCCTGTGAATTTCAGTTTTGGGGTCTAAGCAGAGAAACCTTCATCACTGAGTACGGATGAGCCTGGGTACTAATCCTCAACCTCTGCTGAGCTGTCCAGTCACTAGAATGGTTCCAGTAGGAGACATTGTCGGCATTACAGTTAACACAGGCTCACTGCTACAGTGCCATTGTTGCCAGTAGTTCTTTTTTTTTTTTTTTTTTTAATATATTTTATTGATTTTCCACAGAGAGGAAGGGAGAGGGACAGAGAGCTAGAAACATCGATGAGAGAGAAACATCGATCAGCTGCCTCCTGCACACTCCCCACTGGGGATATGCCCACAACTAAGGCTCATGCCCCCGACCGGAATCGAACCTGGGACCCTTGAGTCTGCAGGCCGACGCTCTATCCACTGAGCCAAACCGGCTAGGGCTGCCAGTAGTTCTTGCTACCACAACTGCTTTGGGAGATCTTATCCACAACAGGCAAAAACCAAGGTTAAAACAATGAAGAGGTCCTGGCCGGGTAGCTCAGTTGGTTAGAGCATTGTCCAGACTCGCCAAGGTTGTGGGTTTGATCCCTGATGAGGACACATACAAGAAGCAACCAATGAATGCACAGATAAATAGAATTACAAATTGATGTCCCCCTCCTCTCTCTCTCCCTTCCTCTTGCTCTGAAACCAATAAATAAACATTTTTTAAAAGGAATGAAGAAAACCAACACCAGTGCTGTAGGAGGAGCTTGGAAGGAGCAATAGAGGCCATCCTTGGTCTAGAGCCCCATCACATAGTCATGAGTCACTCTGGGCAGGTCAACAGGCTCCATTTCTTCAGGCTCTGTGTTTAGACAATGCCCTTGATTCTTCCTTCCCGGCTTTAGCCTGGGTGTCATAATGCTC